GGAACCACGGTAGTGGCGATAATAATTTCGAGGGCACGGAACATGAAGAACGATGAACCCCCGCCCAATACTGAGAAGCAAGAAACCAACGCATACCGGAAGCCATATCGACTCAACCCGAATCTGGATCCAAATTAGGGATTTGATCGTTACTACCGGTAACTATAAGACCTCAAAGCTGTTCTAAGTTGTGACTCCACAGAAGCAGGTGACCAAGTGGAGTGAAGGAGCCATGGGCTATAGCTGCTTGCACCTCGGGGTTCATCTGTTGGGCTATTCTGAGCCCAAGTTTGATGAACCACCTAAGTCCTCTTCATTTTGGGCTTAGTATAATGCTCTCATTGCCTTCTGGAGCCTTGTTGGTGTGTTAATACATAAAGAAAAAAGAAGCAAGCGAGAGCCGGTGGTAACCAACGCATGTTGGCCCAAGCAGCAATGGGTTTGAGTTCTCTTAACTATCAATTCTCGGATTTGATTCTTGGGGCGATGGGAATAAAGAAAATATGTTTGAAAGAGCCACCCACTTTTGGGGACCCATGATGCTCGAATTCAGATTAATTGAACTGTCATACCCAACCAAAAAAAAAAGAGAAAGCTAATGGTAGCTGTTTCAACTCATTAAGTATCATTCTAGAATTAGGAAACTTGTGGAAAAAGAGTGCTCGGGACTTAGGACCTCAATCCCTTCTTGTTTAGTTTGTGTAATTAGCCCTCTTTTATACCAAAATAAAGTATAATTCTAGAATTTAATTCCTAAAGTTGCATGTGAAAAATTAGTTAATGAGAAAGAATAACCCCTCAAATGATGCTTATATTTCTTGATAAATTAATCTCATGGCTATTAGTTATAGAAATATCTTAATAACTGATAACTTATAGAAATTTATGTCATCTCAGCACATTTTTCTATAATTTCATATACTTTTTTATGAAATCGTGCGTACTTCTAGTAGATATAATAGGAAAATGTGCATATCTCATACTTGATTTTAAATGACAAAATCTTGATGTAAATTGTGCATGATTCTTATATTGGTATAATTAAGCTTGGATTCACAAAATTTCTTACCTTCTTAAGTTGTTGAAGCATTATTTGAGGAGTAAAGAAGGAGTTATGGAGTTATTACATGAAGAAAAAGTTAAAACAAAGACTGAAGAATTGAGTTTTAGTCCAAGCGCTTTTGACCTCAGCTGAAAGCCAAAGACAACATACTACTAATGCATTTTTGGCTATAGTTGAGGAAGAATTGGCTGCAACTGAGAGATCATGACCGAGAGGTTTTGGTCACAGCCAAAAGCCTTTTATTGAAGCTGTGCATTTTTGAATCAGACTTGAAGCTAGAGTTATATATGCGAAATTCCTGCACTTTGAAGAGGAAGCTGCGACTTTTAGAAGTTCTTGGAAGCTTTCTCTACTAGGGTTTAGGGTTTTTGAAGGAGATTTGTTAATGATTAAAAATTTGAAGAGATTCAAGTGGATTTCCTTTAGCTTTTCTTCTTCTCATCCCCTTTCTCTCTTTGTTTCTAACATGGATATTGTATATTGTGATATTTATGGCTCTTTTATAAACATGAGTAGCTAGTTCTCTTGTTTTAGGATTATTTTGAACCTTTTTATGAATTAAGACTTGAATATTCCTTTCTTTTTACAGTTAATGATGCATATGTATTTATTTTATCCTATATTTAATGCTTTTAAGTGCTTGATCATCATTTAGATTATTTTGTTCGCTTGAGTTATACTTAAGAGAGTTAATTTAGGTGTATAACTTGGATAAAATAGTATTGGACTTGAAATTTACAAAGATAAATTGATGGTTTTGTAAGTAAAATAGAGATATTTTATTAACCATTTATAATCATATTAAGATTGGTGCTTAAAATTTGTTTTCACTAATTATTTTCAAAAGATTATAAAATTTTAGTGTTTTCAAATATACTTAATTTTGACTTGAGAAAGCTTTTTCAAGTGAATTGAAATTTTAGACTAACACTTATTTTTATTAAAAATCTATTTGAGAGGAATTAATTTTAGTTTTATGAAATAAAAAGGGGAGAAATAATCCTAAATCATCACCTCTAAAAGTCAAAGTTTCAATAAATTTTAATTGTTTTAAAATAATTTTAATCAAATTTTCCTTACTTTTACACAAACATATTTTTTGATTTTGCTCAACTTATTTTAAAGCTTAATATTTTAACTTTCATTTGCCTAAATCCTCATGAAAATAATAACTCTAAAATATTCTACACTTGTAACGATCCGTACACTTGCAGTAATGATTGATGACGAATAATAACCAAAATAACCAAAAAAGGAAAGAAAGAGAAGAAAGAAAGAGCCTTGTTGGTAAGGTCGGTTATTTCTCAAACAAATGGTTGGAGTTCAACTCTTAATCCTTGTGGCAAAACATTTTCCAAAAAAAAAAAAAAAAACTGTGGCAGACTAGTGCATTATGTTTGTTATTAAAATAAAAAAACTAATGGGTTATATACGTGACCAATAAAAACGAAAGATCACAAAACAATGACATGCAAAATCACAGGATCATAAAATATTGAAATTGAATTTAAATACTTGGATCCCTTTTTTACAGCTTATATATTATTATTACCGTGACTATAATATTCTAAAATTAAGCCACTAAATATGGATTTCAAACGTTAATGTTTTAGTCGATACATTATTTTTTTGAACCCACAAAAAGTGACCATGGTCTTGAATTTCAACTTTACCATTAATTTTGAGTGGTCATACTGAATTTTGGTAGGGCTTATCTTCCATTTTCCTTTAAAAAAATAGGAAAAATTGCAACCAAGAATTATTAAAGAATGTTTATTACTCTTTGGGACCAAACAATTCTAAAACTGCATTGTGAGACTAAAGACTTAAATGTAATGAACGTCTATTGTGAAAAGATAGAACTATCCTCCACACACACACATTAAAAATCCCACCACAATCACCAACTGCTAGACCACTATCATTGATTGTCAAAGCTCTTACAATAGCCATCAAACAGATGTTGGAGCTTTAAAAAAAAGTTTTATTTTCATTTTAATAACTATCAATTTCATTGTGAATAGCTTCAAAAAAATTAATGTGGCAATTAATAGGAATAATCGTTGCAATCTAGTAAACAAGTTTTCATTTAAAAAAATAAATAAATTTCATTTTCATTTTAACAATAATTAATTTTTTGGTCACAACACTTATTTCTTTCATCATTATTTTCACTGAGGATAAAACAAGTGTTGCATTGAAGGAATTAATTATTATTAAAATAAAAATGAGATTTGTTTATCCTATCACAACACTTGTTGCTCTCACTTAATGTGTTAATTTTTTGGAGTTATTAATGAAGGAATTAATTTTTATTAAAATAGAAATAAAACTTAGTTTTTTTAAATGAAAAATTGTTCGCTGAATCACAACATCTCATTTCTACCACTTAATTAATTTTTTTAAAATTGTCATAAAAAAATTAACTATTATTAAAATGTAAATGAGACTTATTTATTAAAACTTTGGCTGCCAGCCACAATTTGATGGCAGTGCCAGCACATTAGAGCTTTGGCCACCAACAGGCTTTTTAATGTGTATGTGTGTGAGATGGATAGTTTTATCTAACCATAACAATTTTTAATTACATTTATGGTCTTTGGTCATACAGAGCAATTTTCAGAAATGGTTGGTCTTGCAAAGTAATATAAGTTCTTCAATAATTATTGTTTGTGATTTTCCAAAAAAAAAAGGCGGGTAAGTTGGCTTGCATGTAAAATAATAATAAAAAGTAGGCAACAAAATCCGATCTGTGTACTTGTGTTTGTATATCCATAATCGTTATTTTAATCGAGGCCTACTCTGGTTTCAACAAGTGATTGAAGTTACCTAAATTTCATTGTGCCTAAAACAAATAATGGTAAAGGAACGACAACAAGAATTTTCTAAGAATTGGTCTCAATCTAAAGCCTCAACAATACAAGAAGAGAAAAAATAAAAATAAATCATAAGGATAAGTGGATAACAATGCAATTATACATCAAACAGAAAACTATTAATTAAATCAGTACAACTTCCACCAGAGTTACAAATTTGTTAGTTAATTATAAGGGTAGCAGCAATTTTTTTTTTAAGAGTAGCAGCAATGGAATGACCAATAGAAAAATTTAAAATATTTATTTGAAAACAATCAAAATATTTTTTATTCTTTGAAAACAGAAGAAAAATACACCTTATTCACAAAAAAAAAAAGACAGAAAGAAAAGAAAAAAGAGAGCAAGTACAATCAAACATTCTGCGCGCGTGCTAGTGCGTGGGCATCAACCCCAGAGGGAACACGGCAAGGACCATGGGCAATTGGGCACGCAAAGAGGCAAATTGATCCCATGCCCTTTTACTTGTTATTTACGCGAAAAGCCAAAAGTAATGAATAAATATTCCTGAATTGAATAGGAACTAACTATAAGAATCAATTGTTTATCATGTCACATAATTAAGATTCTTACTTCGGTAAAAACTCATTATGCACCGCACCTCATCGGTTTCTCCCAAAGCCAGCCATCGCTTTTTTGTTTAAAACGCTGGCCCAACTCACATCATGAAAGCCACCTTTGAGAGTTGAACAAACAACACGCAGATAACTTCACGAGAAGGAACAAAATATCGCTTTCATGTGAGTAAAAGAGTAATGTTCTATTTTAGATTATTATTTTCCCTTCCGACACAAAGGAATAGAAAAGAGATTGGAAGAGGACTGAGTCTGAGTCCGAGTCTGGCCGTGTGTTGAATCATTTCTTTACAGTGTATGTATTGGCAGTACAGAAAACAGATGACTGGATTTTGAAAAAAAAAATAAAAAATAAATTGGGGGGACAGGCGCTTGGGGTGGAGGGGCTTATGGTTTTTTTATTTTTTCACAACGCCAGCGGAAGGAAGATCTGAAGGCTTCGTGCCAACAAACAAGCCTGACAAAAGGAAAAAATGCAAGGTATGAGCATGGTTCTTCTTCATCTCCTCCTCTTCCGGAACCCTAAATTCTCTTTCCGTTGACACTCCTTTTGACGCAATTTGACTTCACTCATACCGCGATCAACTCGGCTCACTCCACATTATCTTCGGCTACCTGCTGTCGTTAATTTGCTTCTTTTCAAAACTCTCGCCATCAATTTTTGTGGGTTTGTTTGAATTGAACTTGTCCTGCATTCTCCGGCTTTTCTTCTAGAATTAGAAACTACCCTAGATACTGAATTTGAGTCCATCTCTATTTGTTCTGTAATTAAGTTGGCTGGGTATTTTGGGCCGTGATGCTTTTGGTTTCTATTTAGACTCGGACAGTATTACAGAAGGTTGATAATTTCCTGCTTGGGATTATCAGCATGGAACATCTCTTTTATGTTGGCATAAGAAAGGCTTCTTTACTTTCGGGAATTTGGCTTTGTGCGATAATAATCCTATTTGTGAATGTCGAAAATCCTGTGTCTGCAATCCCTATGCACCGTTTGTGTTTCTTTCTTGTCCGAAAAGGGAATAAGAAACTCAAGTCAACAAGATATCGAGTGTAACAATTTAAAAGAGGCCACTGAATTCCGAGTCGTATATTTGAGTCCACTATTTTCAGTTGATAGCTATGCGGCTCATAGTTTGTTTGCCGAAGTGAGCAGATAGCATGATGTCCAAAGGATTTTTCTTTTGCACTTTTAGGGTGTTGACTGTTGAGATTGTCTCATCCCCTGTCTACTCTAAGTTTATTACTTCTATCACTCTGCCATTTGAAATTTCATGATATACAATATTGTTTAACAATAAGTGGCAACGAGGATTGTATGGTAGTTAATTTCTTCTACTTCCTGCTAATGCCCTTGTGTATATGTCTCTGATTTGATGTACTGCACGTGCAGAATGATTAGTAGACTGGGGTGGAATGATTGGTAAGTAATTGAAGCTGTGGGAAAAAAATGGTTGATATTTCTTGTTGTGATAATAGACGTAGGTATGGTGTCATGTTTTCCTCTACCTAAACACACTATTCTCTCACCAACAACAGTTGATTCAAGTGGTTTCACACTTGTCTCTCCTAAGTATGGTCTTGGGTTTAAGGATGGAGAAGATTACGTTGGGAGAGTTTTGCACTCATGTGGTCTGACATCACTCAATTTGTATTAGCTGGAGCCTAATGTGGCTTCTAGAAGCCGGTTGGTATACCAAAAAAAAGCTTTATCCTTTCATATCCTGCTGTCTTTATTTCATTCAGGAGTTTCAGAACTGTTAGTAACATTAATTAATCTCTGATTGCTTATGGTTGAAATTTTAGAAAGGATATATATTTACGATTGAATTCTGAAAGTGTACAAGTCCACATGACATATGATGCACTTAAACAAACTATCTTGTTTTGAAGGATTTGCATAACTGTGTTTAGAAATTTCAAAGTCCAAATGGGCATGTTCCAGCAGTTGAGATGACTGGAGATTAGAGGCTGCATTAATGCTACCTTGGATAAATTAACAAGAGCAGTTGTGCCAAGTCTTCTCATTTTGACCTCACCCTCAGTGTGTGATATGATAACTAAGACCTTTTTAATCTAGTTATGGGTAAAGATGGCATTTATTTTCTCTGTGCAATGCCTGCTTACTTATTTCTATGTCAGTTTTTCCATTATTTCTGTATTTTGAATTTTGGTCATGTGAGTATTCTAGACGTAGTTCGGTATTCGTGATTCTTTAACTAATGAATGTCTGATTTTACTTTCCAACAAAAAGAAGAGGATGAATAGTATTAATAATTTTAAGAAACTTTGATGTTTACAGGTATATCCCCTGACCAAGAATCTGTCGGGTCTGGGACAAAGAGGTCTAGTGCATCATCAGGCAGTAGGCCTCGGAATCAGAAGGAGTTCTTCTATAAATTTCTTGAGAGTGACAGCCTGACTGAAAAACTTGTTGACTGGTTTGAATCTCTGGCAGAAAAATGTGCACCAAAACAGCACGCCTTTGATGTTCCATTTGAGCTGATAGAACTACAAAAATTTGATTATGCACTGGAAGGCATTTCATTTCAACAACTAATACGCATGCCTAATGCTGTCCATGCTTCTACATCTGATACTGTTGAAGCTACAGCTTATCTTGCTATTGAAGATTTTCTGCATGCAAGTGTGAAGGGTTTATGGGAGGCTTTTTGGAGTCCAGATGAACCCATGCCTTTTTCAGTGGCCTGTCTGTATAATTCTAACATGAAATTTTATCAGGCTGAGAAGGCAATTGCTAATGGAAGGCTTGGAGGTCTTTGTGCTACAGGTATACTACTCAATAATCCTAGACATCCCCATGGAAAATGGGATCATGTCCTTGAATTAACTCTTCTAAGGCCTGATATCAGAAGTCTTGAGGGTGGGGACTGCTGGCCATCTTCATCAGTTATTGGGGATGCTCTTTTTTGTGCTCTCCGCATGCTACTGGCAAGAAGTTTGAGCAGACTGAGTTTCTTTGAGGATCCAAACACAGTCTTTGTTGTTCTAGTTGATTCTCAATATGGGGGAGTTGTAAAGGTTGAAGGAGATGTAAATAAACTAAATTTTGATACAAACAATGTTTATGAATGTGCTGCTGAATGGGTCAAAAATCATTCAAGAATTGCTGTTTCTCCAATTGATAGAATCTGGAACAAACTCGGAAATGCAAACTGGGGGGACATTGGTGCTCTACAGGTGCTGTTTGCAACCTTTCACTGTATAATGCAGTATGCTGGACAGCCCAAGCACTCTATTGAGGATTTAGCTGCTGATCACAGTTTGCGCCTCCAAACAAGAAGAGTGGATAGGCAGTTAGGGGATACTAGTGTGAATGAAAATGGTCTATTTCGACATCAGCAGAGAAGTATTTCCCCTGAAATTGTTGAAGTTCATGAAGATTCTGTGAAAGTTGAGCCCAAAGATTCGATGAAGTTAGAAGTAGGATCTGTGTTATGGCTGGAGGATTCAGATTGGCAAAAGGGTTATCAGATAAAAGAAGTCATCAGCACTGGTGAATTGACATATTACATTGCATCGCATGTTGAGGAGCCAGGAAAAAATCTTTTTCTGTACGTCGGTTGCCATCTTCTGGAACCAGCATGGGAAGATATGAATTTGTGGTATCATGTTCAGAGGCAGACAAAGGTATTGACAGTAATGAAGCAGAAGGGTCTTTCAAGCAAATATATTCCTCAACTGAGTGCTTCTGGTAGGATTATTCACCCTGGTCAGTGTCGAAGACCAAGCTCGGGTGGAAATTGTGACCATCCTTGGTGTGGGACTCCAATTCTTGTGACTAGTCCTGTTGGTGTGACAGTTGCTGAAATGGTGAGCAAAGGTCAATTTGGTTCAGACGAGGCTATCAGATGTTGCCATGACTGCTTATCAGCACTCTCAACTGCTGCTTCTGCTGGAATTCGACATGGGGACATTAGGCCTGAGAATGTAATTTGTGTGAAGTCTGGTGTGAGGCATCCTTATTTTGCTCTGATTGGTTGGGGGCATGCAATTCTTGAAGACAGGGATCGCCCTGCCATGAATCTTCATTTCTCATCAACTTATGCACTTCAGGAAGGAAAACTGTGCTCGGCTTCAGATGCAGAAAGCCTAGTCTATATGCTTTATTATTCATGTGGTGGGGCCTATCCTGAATTAGATTCAGTTGAGGGAGCACTGCAATGGAGAGAGACGTCGTGGTCAAGGAGATTAATTCAGCAAAAGCTTGGTGATATCTCCACAGTGCTGAAGGCTTTTGCTGACTATGTTGACAGTCTATGTGGGACACCATATCCCATGGACTATGATATATGGCTGAGAAGGTTGAGGAGAAGTATTCATGATGGAGATCATGGAAAGGAAATTGATCCAACGGGCTAGGTTTTCTAAATGCGTCCAACTCCAGGGACGATCGCTCTTGATCATCTATGACATGTTTCTCATTGCAAGGATTGCATTTTTGGGGTGGTAAATAAAACTTGGAAACCAATGGTTTAATACTTTAATCACATAAATCTGATTGGAGGCATTTGAGGAGCATGGGATGGTACTCTGAACTTGGTATACAATGCCTCGGCCCGTTGAGGAGCTAAAGTGTCGTGACCTTTTTTTTCCCCTTTTACAATTTTCTCAAGAGATTCCTACCAATGTAAGCTATATTGATAACAATATTCCTTTTGTAAAGATAATAGCTCTTCTGGAATGCCCTGGTGGTTCAAGACTGGTCTGAGTGATCAATTGTGCGCTGGGCATAATCATTTTCTGTAAATTGGTTGGTTTGGTGTTATTGGGAGTTTCAGATCAAGCCGCTTAAACCGTCATTTCATGTCTGTGTACGTTATTTTTCTTCAAATTGATCTGTCAGGATTTCGACTTATTGAACGCTCTTCAGCTCATTCTTTAGAGTGGACGAGGGGTATTATAAAAATTTTCCGTGTAATTTCCCCCGGAATAGCTGCTTATTTAGTCTGGGATAGAGCTCGGTAAAGATGTGAAATTATCAACCAGTCTTCCTCCCCTTTCCACGCCTTTAGTTTGCTCATTCTTTTTCTTTTTCGGTGAATACAAGGCTTTGGACAGAATATGCAAAAGACAACAAAATAAGATCAGATTAGAGGTCAAAAAATTTCTGCATCCAATTAGTAGATTTTGAAAAATCTCAATATCCAAGTTCTCATGATGGACATGGTGGTGATGGGAGAGCTAGTCTGCACATTTGTTAGGTTATTTCAGGGTCATACCACTACGTAGAGAGGGCAAGTGGCCCAACAAAAAAAATTTCATTTTACTCGAGTTTATATAATATATATATACATATATATAATTTCCAAATCTAACAAGTTTTAATATCCCCATAAAATATATGCATATGTACGTTGCCACAACATTTTAAATTTTTTGGATCCATCACTAAATCTGAACATATATTTAAGAGTAACTCTACTTAACACGCATCAATTAATTAACGCTTTTCATTTAAACTTTCTTGACATGCTTTAGCTTAAGCTTTTCAAATAAACCTACGGTACTTCAGCTAAGCAAGCCTTCATGATATAGCTGTAGAAGATCTATCACGGATACCCCGTACAACAAGGGCTTGCGGCATGTTTCTTTGGGGGTCTATTGCTTCGAGATTAAACTTGCTATCCACGGGGAAACAAATGCTACTAGTTTTCGAAGCTAGCGGGGTGCAAGGCTGGTTCTGATTTAGCTTGATATTCAGAATGGTTCTATCCGGTTTAAGAAATCATATGCCTAGAATTAATGGCGCAGGGTTCTTCAACGTCGCATTGAGCATGGAGGATAAAACTTCCTATTGTCAGTTGCACCCTTCTGCCAACTAGTTTCAAACACTGTCAAACCTAAATGAGATGGATCTTTTTATCTTTTCCCTCATTTAACAAGAATCAAATCCTTTCTACTCGATTTAACCACTATGAGTACCGTGAACCTTTCTTTTTCTCTTTTAATAAAGAAATGAACTTTAATCATATATAAATACAGACACGGACGGGGCCAGGAAATCAACTAAAGCAATAATCAGGAAGCATAAAGATCAACTATTGAAAGCATAGAAATATTATAAAATACATCCAGAGGATGAACTATTTTTTTTTTTTTAAATCAGCTAATCTGCATCCATTTCTTCAAGGGTTGCTTTGGCTTGTAACTTATGAAAAAATCAAGTGTTTCTTATGGAGAGCGGCTTGGGATCACCTACAGAGTAATTTTACAACTAATGAAGGGCACAACCCAATACAACGAAACTATACCTTTGGTTGTAATTCTCCTGACTCTTCAATTCACATCTTACGAGATTGCAAGAAAGCGTGGAGGTTTGGCTAAAGCTAGTCAATCCTTTCAAGCTAAATAATTTTTTCTCTCTTAACGTGCAAGACTGAATAGTTTGGAATGCAAGAAATGAAGCAGGGAGTACTAGCACAAGAAAAATTAATTGGCAGAAGCTCTTTGCTCATGTCTGTTAGAACATATGGAAAGCGAGATGCAAGAGATCATATTCTGAAGATGACAATCAAGACAAAGATATAGCTTTCTCTTGTAGCCAACAAATCATAAATGATATGTGGCTTCTATCAAGAGTGGATATTTTGAATAACAACAGACTCAGATCCGAGTTTAAATGGCGTCCTCCGAAGGAAGGATGGGTTAGGCTTGATGTTGACAGTCTGTTAACTCTCTCGGTGCTGCAACTTGTAGTGGAGTCATCTGCGATGAACAAAGAAATTGGATTATCGGTTTCTCAAAATTTCTTGGATATCAACCCTGTACTGCAGCTGATTATCAAGCATTTTAGAAGGTTTTCAGATTGGTTGGAATGCTAATCTTTCCAAGATTAACTTATACACTGACTCTATGGAAGCCCTCTCTCTTATTCGACATAATTTCTTTGATAGCCATCCTCTTGCGGCAACCATCAAGAAAATAAGGGAGCTTATTATGAAAAACTGGACGGTTACTTTTGACCACGTTTTTAGAGAGGCAAACAATTGTGCTGATTTGCTCGCACGGGAATCTTCGCATGACCACTATGACCTCTTTATCTATAATGTTCCGCCTATAGGATGTAGGAACATTTTGGACTCTGATATGTCCTGACTTCTGTAACCCTTACACGATTTTGTCCGTGTCTTTTCATTCAAAAAAAAAATATATGCAACATAAATATATTAAGAATATAAGATCAAGCACATAAACTTTACTGAAGTAAAGAAGAAACTTATACACCTACCTTTATATATTTAATATCCTTTTTTTCAATTAAATTAATATACGTTGATCTTTTATAGATTATATATTAAAAAAGATAATAAAATATTTTAAAATTATACAAAATGACAATTTAAACTATTAAAATATTATAATATCAATAAAATTTTAAGGACCTCATTATCAAAAATTATATAAATGATAAATTTTGACTTTTCATTGAATTTTTACGATTTTTTTAAAAAAATTGTAATTCTTTAAATAAAAGTTGCGAATGAAGTTTATTATTTTAAAAATTTATTTTTTAATAATAGAAATTATATTTAATACAGTTAAGCTGACTTTTTTTTTAATAAAAAAAAGAAAAAAACATTCAGTCAAAGAGCAAACTAATGGATTCTACTGTCGCAACTCATAAATGATACAGAAGACACCATTTCAATGTTTTCTCGGTGTTGTGCACTGCTTGCTACGTTTCACACCGATAGCACTCAGATGAACATTGAGAAGGGGATCAAAGGAATTTATGCCTGAACTCAGTACACAAGCTGTGGTTCAAACTCTGCAAAATCTACAGATCCGGACTCTATTGGTGGCATTAAATATGTAGCCAAGAGCTCAGATGCCAGGCCTGCAATTAGTGGGATCCTCTTTAAGTTCTTCACCAAGGGAATGTCATCACTTTCACCGACAGCAATAAGCTTCTGGTTTATCTCCACCATTCTATCCAACTTCCGCTTGAACTCTGGGTTCTCCACATCCAGAACTGCTGGGAAAATTCTAGCTGTCGTGCGGTTTGTCTGCAAATACAGCAATCCACAAATGTAGCTTTTAGTTATTTTCTGATATACTGGCTTGTGCTTTAACGCTATGGAATTAGGTTTTTGTTTTATAATGTATTAATCCACAAAAGTCAGTTGCAAGAAACAGAATTACTCAAAAATAGTGACAGAAGGTGACAGTGAAATATGAATGATTTCTAATGTAGAACGCAGGAACATGTAGCATAAACTTACTTCAATGATGACATGCATGTCAAATTCTTTGGTATTCAACCCAATGCCTTCATAGAAAGCTGTGCGTTGGCAATCATTGAGATACATCGTGACATAGACCTGAAGAAAAATTTGAGAATCAAGTTTCAATACTCACAGATGGAAAAATAATAACCAATCTACTATGAAGACATTTGGCATAAATAAAAAGGGGAACAGAAGTCAGATGTTTCATGGCCCTTAAGGGATGCAAAGGTGAACATGATTTTTGCATCTTGGATATATACACTTGCTGTTGAACATCCTTAAGTAGAATTATAGATAGATGCAATTTGATAAACAAATATAACTATATAAGCATGTTAAGCACATTTCTCAGTGGAATCTACTTGCAACATGCTTATATATCCATCATCAATGACCTGGTTTTCTATCAGATAATATCTTTGATATTCTATATACCCTCTCTCCCCCTTCTCAATCCTGCTTTTCAAATAGCAACTTCAAAAGGCACTTGATTGGCACTAAGTATTAAGATTTCAACACAAGATTGTAAAAGACAAACACTGTAAGTAAAATTACCGATAAGCAGAAGAAACGGGCCCACAACTTTGCCTTCCAGTCATTGAGAAATTGTGGCTGAGCTTTCATCAAAGCAGAGAAAAAGTCTCCATGTCTATTCTCATCCTGGCACCAGTTCTCGAAGTACTTGAAAATGGGATAACATTGGTACTCAGGGTTGGCCTTGAGGTGTCTGTATATGGTTATGTATCTCCAGTATCCAATTTTCTCAGACAAGTATGTTGCATAGAAGATAAACTTTGGCTTGAAAAAAGTGTACTTTCTAGCCTTTGTCAGGAAACCCAAGTCCAGCGCCAAATTGAAATCTGATAAACCCTTGTTCAGAAACCTGCATGGAATTTTTCAACATTGAGGTTATACACCATCCAACTAACTGATCATAAAAGGAAAACAAAACTTCAATGGCAAATAAAACTAAGTTCGTGTCTTTACCCAGCATGCCTTGCTTCATCCCTTGACATGAGAGAGAAAATCTCAGCAACCACTGGATTGGTTTTCTGCAATATAATCATGAACATTCCAACCAAATTATCAGTCCAGGAAAAGGGGAGACAACGTGCATGAACAACATTCTTAAAAACATGGCTAGCTGTGCCACCACGTAGTCCAGGAAGCACCAATAATGATAGAGATTCAACATACAGCACGACCAGACATGACTAGGTTTTTTAAATTATCAATGCACTTCAGTCAAAAAATAAAATGAAGACAAAACACTTGTCCCGGGATGATTTTACGACGTCCCAAGAGTTTTATTTTCTTATTTTTTTTTTGTGTGACTGTTTTCCACAATAGAGCAATTGTTTCCATCCAAAGTAAAAAGAACCTCGATTATCAGCGAAAACAATCAAATAATAGAGTTGAAACAGAGTATCGCACCTTGAGCCTCCTTCCGAGCTCTTTGTAGAGAAGGAATCCAGAGAATTCAGCAGTGCAAGACCTCTCAAGGAACTCCACGAAGATTTGCCGGAGAGGGCCTTCGATTTTATCAGCAGCCTCCTTGAACTCCTTGTTCCTCACAAAATGTGTCTGGTTGTAGTCAGTCTTAAACTCCTGAAGCAGAGCTTCAAACTCATTCTGGTTCAAGTTCTTGTTAATCTCAGCGTTGAAAAGTCTCTCCATCTCATCAAAATCTGTGGTGTAAAACCTTGGCGTCAAAAGGGTCTCCTTGATAGCAGTTTTATTGCCTTTCTTGCTCGGCTTTGTGGGTGTGGCGGTGGAGGAGGCAGACATTCTTACGATGCTGAACTTGGCGTATGAACCCATTCTTGGCTTCCCGAATTTGGGAGTAACACTGCTGAATTTGGAAACGGGTTTCACGAGAGCCATTTCCGCTGCCATTCTTACTTCGGAGGAAATTCTGCGGATTTGAGCTGATGAACTAAAGAGTGCGCAAGGGAGGAAGTTGTAGTTATAGCTTGGTCGGATGGACAGTGATAGAATCAATCTCATCCAATGAAATCTGTGAACGTAAATCGTAATTGGACACGTGGCAGCTGTTGTGAGCTCCTTCTCATTGGATGATTGGCGGAGATAATTTCATTTGGATCAGATTTTGTGGTCTGCATTTAGTTGCGTTTAGATTCTCTCTCTATTTTCTCTTTGGATATTTCATTTTCCGTTTTTCCTTTTTTTCTAAGCACCAAATTTTTTATTTTCTGTTGAGTTGCCAATGATAATCAACCCATAATAAACTTGTGATTGTTTTTTTGTTTGTTTTTTATTTAAGAAAACTGATAATCAAGCCATAGATGTATTCTATTTACCATTTATGCTTTACAATTCATTAATCTACTACTGTCTTTTGCAGGTGATATTTTCCATTGTAGCAGCAAGCAGCAGCAGTGCAAAATGGGAACCACATTTCAATGATTTCATTATTCGGCGTGATGTGGCACTCTAAAAATCTTGTCTTTTTTTTTTTTTTCAATTGTGGGGCTTTGAGGAGAAGAGGCCCCATTTATATTTTTTTGTTTTTGTTTTTAACACCCCAACGTTTTCTTGCCATTTGTTTTAGATTTTTTTTTTGGGGGTTATTAATCATTTTTACCGTTTCTTTTCAAAATAAATTGGCTCAATCACCATAAAAAATATATTAATACAAAAATTATGATGGAAGTTTTTTAGAATTTTAGAATATAACCCATTTACAATTAATTGGGGTGTGATTTTCTCTTTTTATTTCCAAAACAAATAAGAAAAACTCGTGTAACATACTAACAAAATTCTCATAATTAAATTATTATAATCATGGTCTATTTATAACCATATATCATTTTAATATTTAAACACTTTTGAATATTTTATCATCGGTTTAATGGACATAATATATTTTATATTTAAGAATGAGAATAAAATTTTAGAATTGAGGAGAAGATTTATTTTTATCATTTCAATTTAATTTAAATATTAATCCAACAACATAACAAAATATTTAAAATGTTAGGTTGTAATCTTTGTTTGATCCTATTAAATAGGCCATGTATGCAAAAGTCCCTTCTTTTTACAGGCCAAGAATCCTTTTTACTAACTTGTGTGTGCGTGTTTTTTTTTTTTTTGGACCAACTCTTTCTACTATGTTGAAGAAATATTCTCCGAAGCCTGAGCCCTGAGGCCTAAGGTGAGAACTGAGATGCGGGTAATAAGATCAAGTTACATCCTGCAGAGTAAAATCTCTGAATCCATGCGGTTTCCTTTCATATGTGATACTTACAAGAGTTCCAAGTTTCTCCCTAATAAACAAGTAAACATCAAATCTAAATCTTGACAAGGGGCTGGCCAGGAAGAGAAAAAGCAAACCTAGCAAAGCACCTATTAGGTGAACGACAATCTTTCTGCACTATTTTGAGCAAGGTGGCGTTTTACAGCTTACAACAGTAACACTTCTCTGACGCTTATAATAATGAGAAGTGCAACGTCAGCCTCTCCATTTTCAGCAAAATATGGCATCAAATAACTTGCATGTGGCCTGCATGATGGATCTTAATCTTCACACGGATCACTGATTGCTGCAACTACTTCATGGTAAACAAGCAATCCACCACCTGCAGCGAACCTGTTACAAATGTTTCTTAGGGTAACAGCTCGAGAATAAAACTGAAATCAAGGTTTTTCACTGTTCATTCTGCATCTTCAGCATCAGCTTCTTTTTGGCCACAATTACAGAACTACAAAATTTGATTTTTATTTCTTCTTGGTATTTGAGTATGATATATTGAGTCTAGTTGCCATTGGTCAAACTTTAAGCTCTTGCACCTTCTTGCCACGGATCACTGCAGAATAACTTCACAAATGCAAGAACTTGTACAATTTAGCAATGAAGAGTGAGGGAAAAAAAAAAACCTCTCAAAGTTTGACAAAGCAAAATCTGGCTTTGTGGCTTAACATGACCTATTCTTCTTTATCATTATTTTCCTTGGTAGCATTTATTCTGTTGACATCAACGGGCCTTTGGGCTGATTCTCTGATTCCATCTCCAGCTTGGGGGCTTTGTGTATACTCTTCCACCTCATCTTCAGTTTCGATGCTTTGGAAATTTAGCACTGTCACGGCAGAGGTTCGAGCTGAATCTTTCATCATGTCTAGCTCAACACTGAAGAATGGATCATAAGAAGACTGTCCTTCATCTGGAAACCTCATCTTCTCGAAATGATCATAATCAAAATTTCGTAAAATTTCAGGAACTGGCATATTACAATCATCTGCACGCATAGATCCCATTTCAAGGTCACTTCTCTCATGTGGTGTCAGAAATCCCCTGCCTCCAAAATTTGGGATCACGGACTCAACCTTATCATGATCATAATCCAGCACAAGAGACCGAAAATTATTCCTTGAAGCTGGAATAGTGGAGCAAAATGTTTCTTTGATATTTCCCAGCGTTCCCATGTGGTATGGATTCCCCCTCTTATCGTACCGATATCGGAAGTTCTCATAAGTTGTCTGTGCACCAACAACAACTTCTAGTATAAGCGAACTCAAACTAACAACCAATAGTCTAGAAGTTAAAAGGAAGTATTCTGCAAACATGATAGGCCGATGGCCATACAGACAAGTTTTGGAAGAAATAATTATTCAGACAATTATTCTAATTAGCTGCTTATAACTCAAATGCTTGTCTTCATGATATTAAAGAAATAGAAACCTCTTATATTTTGACATGAACAAGATAAAGACAAGTAGGAAAACAGTGTCCATCGAATATCCAAGACATCATCCGTGGTTGATTTGCTAGTCAAAACATCTCTCTTAATTTGTCTTCTAATTTTCTTCAAATATTTTATCCAGAAAAAATAGTTATCTTATCTTTTTGCGATAGGTCTCAATATCTAAAGTATCCTTGTAGTGATACCTCGACATCAAATTCAACATAGGCACCTAAAATTTAAAACTTTTACCTTTTAAAACTTTTAATTTAAAACTCAGTGAGTAGTAATTTGAAAGTGAAATTGTATTACATTTGAAAGTTATTATTCAACATAATGGGAAAATTGATGAAGATATTGCTCATAGGGTACAAGCTTGGTGGTTAAATTAAAAAAAAAAGCTAAAGAAGTTATTTGCAATTGCAAGATACCTAATAAACTTAAAAGGAAGTTTTATCAAACTGTTATAAGACCAATAATATTATATAGTAGTGAATGTTATGTTGTAACGGAACAACAAAAACATAAAATTGGAATAGCAAAGACAAGAATGTTAAGATGGATGTGCAAACATACAAATAAAGATAAAATCCAAAATGAGCGGATGCAAGAAAAAGTGAACATCGCACCTATTGAAGGAAAATTGGTAGAAAATTATTTGAGATGATTTGGACATGTACAAAGAAAACCACGAAAGGCACTTGTGAGAAGAATAAAACAAATAACTTTAAACCCTGTCAAGAGGGGTAAAGGAAGGCCAAAGAGGATACTTTTAGAAGTTGTTGATCGAGACCTTTTAGTTAATAATATTTCTAAAAGCTTGATAAATGATAAAGTACAATGACATTATATAATCCATGTAGTCAATCCCACTTAATGGGATAAGGCTTGTCGTTGTTGTTATAACTTCTTGCACCAAGCTCAATGCATAACTAATTTGAGCCAAAAAGGAAAGTGAAAAAAGTAGGTTCATCTTTCCTTTAGTAGAGTCCTGTTAGATAAGGATTTTTCTTATGCATAATTTCAATTCACAAAATTTTCTTTAGCAGTTGAGCTTCCTACAGAATCTAGTTTGCTTGAAAACATTTTAGAACTCAATAAAAATTCATTCACCTAACATCTCAAAGTGGACCTAAAAAAAAACATATAAAGAATAAAAAAAACGTGATAAGTAATACCGCATGAAGCAGAAGGGAAATTGCATATAAAACAATCGGAACTTCAAACTTTGTGAGGTAGGGGAGTCACCTGGTTTGTACAGATGAGATAGAAATGGAAAATTGTGAGGCCACCAACAAACCAGACAGCTACAAAGCAGTATACTACAAGGATATCTGATACATAATCATTTGCTATCCTCTTCCCAAATGAAATGTCACCCTGGGCCAGACTGATACAAGAAAACACGAAGACAAATATGCACAAGATGGTTGATGTTGAAATAAACATGATGAAGAACCGATAGTTTCGCTGCAAAATAATCATCATGAACAAGAATAGTTATTTCCTGTAAGAAATGTGATGAAAAGAAACATGGGGAAGCCCATTAAAACAAACCATTCATCTTACTAGAGTAAACTGTGGCCAGGAAAGGGTAGGATCTATTGGCCCTCTCTCAAGTAAGTCATTGCATCTTTTTCTTTGGGCTGACCAAACAACACTACACTGACTTCATGAACCCAAAATTATGAAAGATGTGGAGCAATTATTATGAATTTAGTAGGTTTCATGATCACTCTCCTGCTTAATGAAGAGCTTAATTTTAACATATAGCAATTGCATTATTAGGAGAATAGAATTACTACTAAAGCCGCATATGATAGCAAATTGATTCACTGGTTCACTAATTCCAGATTGAGCAATCTCTTAGTAGGTGAAATCCAATATGAGTTTGACCATGAAAGCTGCTATCATTCCGCAGTAGCTCATACAGGCATTTTCATGGTTTGCATAGGAAATATCTGCCTAAAGCAATGTTTTAACAAGAGCAATCAATTAAAGTTTCTAGAAATGGAAGCATCTATGGAAAAAGAAATAAACTGTAATTGAAATTGTTACCCAATCTGCTTCATACTGGCCAGAAAACATGATCCAAATACATGTCAGGTTCACTCCTAAATGGTTTGGAAAATTTTAATTTTCTTCAATTGAAGGACTGTGGAGATTCCAAGTTAATAACATGTCAAATGTACAACTTCCTCACTTTGAGATCAACCAAACAACAACTGCAAGTTACTGCATTTTTTTCCTCAAAACATATTGGTTAGGCCTAGAGAAATTATGTCAATTTTAAGCAATATGCCTTACAATTTGCAATAATCACCCCACATCAAATTTTCAACAGAATAGTGTTGCAGAAGTCCTTGATTTTTCCTCAAAGGAAAAGAAAACAATGATCTAAATGTTCATGTCAATCAGTCAAATGGCTTTTCAAGTGTCGATTTCTAAGCCTGATAGGATTTAGGAATATTAGCAATAAAATTATACATTCCAGTAACTAAGTGTGTAGAGACTTCTAATAACTTCCTCATTGTATTCAAGGCAAATACTAAGTTCCATCTTCTGCTAAATGGAAATCATGACCGAAGTTTAGATGCAGTGTCCAAAATCACTTTTATATTATGATTCTCAAAACTGGCTGACAAGTACCATAAAATTGAGCTTTGTATTTTCATAAAAATAAAAATGGAACCTTATCAACTTACAATTCCAATACACTGGCCGACCCAAGGACAGTGATGATCAAATCTCTGGACACAATTGTTGCAGATGGAACAATGAGACGACCGTGGAGGGCGATAAAGCAAACAAGTATCACAGAACTTCACTTTTACTTTATGACCATTAACAATTACATCTCTGGTTCGAGGCAGTTTCAGACGAGGGGTTGAGCCATTAATCCACTCCATGGAAGGAGTAGGTATATCAGATTCTTCATCCAACTCAGGAGGCCTGGAATTCCTCGGGACAATTCCAGGATCCCTCCCAGAGGTCAATAAGAGGAATGTTAAGTCCTGCAAAAGAGTTGCTATAAACTTTTATCTCCAATTTAATAAAAGAGATCTCATCCTAGATTAAGGAAGGTAATATGATGAGGAAAATAAAATCATTCATGTGTCTAGAGTCAAATTGAAAGTACTTCGTTTGCCCCTGGGGGTGGATGTGGATTTTTTTTTTCTTTCTTTTTTTTTTGGGGTTAGATAACATAGTCATAAGTTATAAGTATTGAAAAATGCAAATACCCCCTTCGACTATGAGTTATTTGCAAGTACTTCCCTCAACTTTGAAAGATGAAAAATACCTCCATGCACTTCAAATTTCTAGATTAAATTCATTTGCTTTCTTTAACATGCCATTTTCAAGTGCGGTGTAAGCAGGTCTAAATAATTACAATCCAACCCACATGAGCAGTTATTACACAATTCAAATAAATGAACATTAAAGCAAACGCACAGGTAATAAAGTTAACAGGAAAGTGAGCGAATGAGTTAAAATCCAGGCATGTGAAGGAGCAGGGAGGTATTTTCTCTTTCTTATTTTTCTGGGGGTATTTGCAAATGGCTCATGGTTGAAAAGAGTATTTGCATTTCTCCTATAAAAATATTAATAATTGAACTTTCAATTCGAATAATAAAAAATACAGAAATTAGAGGAATTGAAGAAAAATCAGCAGAAAAACTAGGGAAAAGATGGTAAACAGAGTGAATTGGCTGATAATAGATTTCCACAAGATACTAAAGGCATTACTGTAAATTAAGGCACATGTGGATTACTTACCAAAATAGTGACAAGTGAGACTGTAATCAATATCAAATACCAGAAACGAACATCAGCGGTCTCTAGATTTCTGGTTTTAAGATATATCTTCACACAAAATGCAATAACAGGTCCAACAATTAAGAAAATGGTGAGAAATATGGAACCTGCATCAGGACCAAAGACCAGTCTCCCGCCACAGAAAAATATCTGGAATTAAGGCAAGAAAAAGCTGAATCAGTCAAACATAGCTTACTTATTATAGCTTCTACAAGTCCAAGTATACCTCAGCAATGTAAATTTCTTGTTTTCAACCCAACACAAGTACATGAGTGCTCTCAGATGGCAGAAACGTATGAGCTAAGAACATCTTTAGCCATGACAAATTTATCTATAAATAAGACATTTTGACTATATAATGCAAGTGGGTGACAAAATCCTTCCAACTAAAGGTGCAGCCAAATGGCTTTACAAATTACAGTATTGAGTGTGGATTCACAATTCATCTTAAAATGTAGCTTTAGAAGGGTAGGTATAAGGAATGAAATAATAATCATGTAATGTTAAACAACTCTTTGCACATGATCAAGACTTGTAAGTTGTAACTTGATTCAAATCTTGTTTAGCAAAACTATTATACTTTTCCTGTGGCTAGTGTGGATCCAAACAGCAAGAGAGAAGCAACCAATAAGAAGGCCTAACAAATTTAATGATTAAGAAAAATCAACTAAGCCCACACAAGTAGGCAGTTGAAATTCTTTTTTTTTTTTTAGAAGCAAATACAAAAAGAGTTAATATATCCAAGACTGAAAATAGGAAGGAAAGTATTTTAAGGTAAAAAACCTCAATAGACCGCTCCTAGAGGAAGCATAAAGGAAAAATAGATTGGAGCTACTCTTATTGTCATCAACACGAAGTCCAGTATTAAAAGTAGATCCAAATATGCATTTATCGTTAGTCGTGCATTATAGTTGCTTTATTATTAGTCTCCCTGGATTATCTCTCATATAATTTTCGCATAAGCATGGGGAGGCATACTACCCCATGCAAGAATAGAATCTTTCTTGTTTGGCTTATCTAATCAAATTGGCAAATTTTGTATTCAAATTTACAAGAAAAGTCGATTTAGCAATTAGCGTGAAGCAAGAATCCATACAGATGAGTTATAAATGTCCTCAATGTTCATGGTCAAAGGCTTAGAAATGCTCACTTCCCTTCCCCTTGGGGCAAAAAGCAGAAAAACCCATGAAAATTGACAAGAAGGGCATGTTCCCTAATTGATAACAGGACTAGAAGTCATTATGAGTTCATATTGAGTTTGAAATGTGATCAAACATATCTTTCTACATTACAAGCAGCCCAACTACAAGAACCATACAGAAAGCTGAAAAGGACTCACATTATTACCCCTCCAGACTTGGTGAAGCCTCCTCGGTCTCAAATTGGAAGACATACTGCCAGGTGGAGAAGACGCCATATCTAGATTTCTATTTCCATGCATGGCAGCCGCCTCTTCTATCAAAATTGGTCTTATCTTCTCAGAAAATCCATACCCAACCGAGAGGTCCTCGGACAGATTCGAATTCCTTTCTGGGTATCTCGAATTATAATCCTCTCCAGATCAACAGTTAAGGTGACAGTGCAGACAAGAGAAGGATGAAGGGAAAGAGAAAAGAAAGAATGTTCTTGGATCACAACAATTTACAAAGAGCCTGCAAACGCATAGGCTCATGAAATCTTGTCTCTAAGGCGGATCATACCAAGACGAGATTCCTCGTGGCCCTTTCTCTCTCCCTTGCAAAGTTCGTTGCTTTCTCTCTCTCCCTTTAATCTGAACTGCTGGCACCTTGGGATTCTTGGGGGCATTTTCCAATTCCTCGCGGCATTTACGCGCGTAACTCTTCTTATTCGTTGTGATGTTAGTTGTGTTGTGCCATTTATAAAAGGAAGCTGGAGCCAGATCACATATTTTTTGTTTTATTTTATTTTGTTTTGTCTTAAGCGTCCATATATTATTACAGTGAGAAGTGAGAACTGTTCCAAATTTAATTATCTTTCAATCCCCAATTCCAAAGGTCGACTTGCTCCAACTTTGGATTTGAATTTGCTGGCCGCCTTAACAATTGTATGTTATGTTTTCTACTTTCTTCATATTTCCGTTCTAATATAAAAATATAAAAAATATACATGTGCAATTCCTGTTCTTTATGGAAGAAAAACGGTAGTATTTAGCTGTGAATTTCTTTTCAAAACTTTTTTAATAATTATTTTTTAGAGAAAAATTAATTTTATTTTTCCATATTTTTTGATTTTTAAATATAATTTTTCAGAAGAAAAAGCGGCCGAGCGGTGTACGTGTGAATATTGGAGTGAAAAAAAAAAAAAAAAACGACCAATGTAGAACATGTCTGAAATATCCATAATATATAGATGAATTATGTCGGGGCTGAATAATTAATTAACAATTAACGAATACTAGAACTATAGAAGGTAGTTGAGTTTACAAGAAGAAACACGCTATTTAAAAGGGACTGACATTTGGCATTTTTTTGGTGCTAAATACTAAATAATACTCCCTACGTTGCAAATTATAAAATAATTTTAAACTAATTTTATTATCTTAAAATATAAAATAATTTTAAAAATAAATTTTTATTAATAATATTTTTACAATATTACTCTTTAAGGTGAGAGAGAATTGAAATAATACTTTTTTAATATTATCTTCTGGATCACAATATAGGTATCTTCTAAAAACCTTGCTTGATTTAAAATGCAAGGTATTTGTGCAACTTTTATTATAATTTTTTTAACTATACCCCTATTTTATTTATTACTCTTTTTAAAAAAAATAATGTATTAAAATTTTAATTATCATTATTAAAGTAATTATATAAAATATTTAATGAGGATAAAATTAAAAATATGCAATTTTTTTAAGGAAATTAAGGTATCAATTAGCATTTTTTGAGAACCCTAAATTAATTATCGATGTTCTATATTTTAGTCATTTTTGAAAGTATGGAAAGACATTTTTAAAGGTTTATATTTTTGTTTAAAAAAAAGTTTGTAAAGCGTTATTATTATATTTTATTAGTATGCATAAACTTATCTTGAATTATCTTCTAATTTATAATAGAGGGAGTAAATAAGTTCAAGTTGTAATTTAACCATCTCTTGGACCAATTATAAAACAGCTTGCCCTGCAGAGAAAGAATTTTAGAATATACAAGTGAAGCATGCTTACATGCCCTTCAAACTAGAATACTAGATCATATATATAGAGACTCCAATAATAAAATCTTTTTAACACATGAGGTGCTTTAATTAATTTTTTTGTATTCAAAATTCTGTGATTTTATGGTTACACTTACAATTGAACATTTTTGCATGCATGTTTATTATCAAATATTTTAGTTATTTTATTAGTAGCTAGTGTTCATTCTACAAATCATAATATTTTCAAATATACACCCTCTTTGCGGTTCCATGAGCTTAAAACGGTGTGTTTTAAGTCAAAAGTTGAGGTTGGCAATCCAAGAAAGAGGAACTTATCATGACAATCTAAGAATATGAATTTGCTTGGAGATTATTCACAATTTGACACATGTTGAGCTTAAAAATGCCAAATATTATATCAGGGCACTAAATATGGTTTATAAATGCATTACAAATAAAATGATCTTTGGGATTTTTTTATTTTTTATTTTTTACCAGCAGGTTTTGGGATATTATATTACAAAGAAATGGCTTATCCATTGATAGCCATTCATATACAATGAGGACAACCACAAGAACATCTCCTGTGTTATTCTGCAACAATAAATACAGCTCCATAACCCGTGGCTACGTGACCATTATGTGTGGAAGGGGAAGAGAAGGGAGGGAAGGAGATTGATTTGAGACTGGAGAGAGAAGAATGAACAAGACATTAATTTACAAAATCAACAATCCATTCCAACCAAAGATAGAGAAGATGCCTAGTCATCCATCATCTAGAAATTTTGTTCCATGTGCCAGTTAACAGTAACCTCCTTGTCAGTCTTTTCTCCCCGTTTTGAGTGACCAAAGTATAACCTAGTTTTCATTGGGTCAGAAACTAATAAGGAGTTATTTCGTTTCTCCTTCTTTCCTCTTTCCATTGTGCATCAGTTCATGTCACTTCAGTCAGAGCAAATCAGCATGCTTACCTTGAAACTCACTATCTACAAATATCCCTTGCATCAAATGCCCCAAAAGGATCTGCATAAAAAACAGAAACAGTAAGGTAATCCTAAACACTTCCATAGAACAGAAGCCAAACGCTGTGGCCTCATAGGGAACAACGTTTCAACACCAAAACAAAATATAATCCTTTGCCTCATCTCTTCTACACTTAACAACACCTCATGTATCACCATCTGATCATGCAAGTCCTTCCCCTCATTTCTCTTTCTTCAATTCACCAATTGAAGCTTGAGGTTATTTTGGAAAGGAATTTGTAAGTGCTTGATTATTTTCATCAAATTTCCCAAAAACTAGAAATTATTATTTACTATTTAGGGCATACATTATGCATAAGATTATTCATTAAGGCCTTGTGAAGAGAATCGTTATATGTACATGGAGACTAAAAAAGATATCAAAGTGATACCTCTGTTCTAAGAAGCAGCAACGTAATCTGAAGGAGCTATTGCTTTTCCTTATCTTGGGTAGCACTGGCTCCCTTTGTGGATTTCTGATGTGAATATTTTGGCTCTTGATTAGTAGGAACGAAAATATCAAATGCAGCTTCTTTTTCTCCTGCCGCCTTCTTCAGATGATCATCCATGCTGTTGCAGTCCAGATCATTTAACATGCTTGGCATTATCACGCTATTATGCTTGCCATGCTTTCCTCCCATTTCTGCATCAATTTTTCGTTTAGAGCTTATAAGGCTTCTTTCAAGATCTGAAGTAACACCCGGTGCATCGGTAACCAGCCCTCTGAAGTTGACCAGTGAAGAGGGGATCTTAGTACATGAAAGTTCTTTGAAGTTCCCTAGCAGTCCCTTTGAGTATGGGTTTTCCTTCTTATCATAGCGGTACCGGAAATTCTCATAAGTTGTCTATGAGAAGGCAAATGTGAATCTTATGTAAGTGTACAAAATACAGCATGCTGGACTTCATTTGTATGACGCAACTTTAGCTTATAGAAGCAAAAGCCTGAAATATATAAAGCATTAGGAAGAAAGATAAGATACCTGGTTGGTGGAAATCAGGTAAAGATGGAAAACTGTTAGGCCACCCACAAACCATACGCACATGAAGCAATATACAATGAGAACAACTGATATGACATCGTGTGACATGCTGTGCCACAAGGTGCCTTTAATCCAACGAAGATTAACCCAGGAAAATGTGAACACATACACGCACAACAAGGTTGATGTTGATATGAATAGTATGAAGAATGGATAGTTACGCTGCAAAAATATGAACGGGAGAGACACTGTTAAATTCAGTTTAAGGCAAAGGAGTGGGAAAGAATGAAAGACGGCAGAATCTAGAAGAGAAAGAAGAACATTAGAAGTAAAAAAGTGACAATCCGATAAGAATCTCCTGCAAACTATATTGGTCCCTTGGATCAACCTTCACCAAGGCTACTTGTGATGCCCAAAAGTTTGATTTCCGAGAGTCTGAAGGCAGATTTGAATAACTTACCAATCCAATACACTGACCAACCCAGGGGCAATGGTGATCAAACTTCTGCACACAGTTGTTGCAAATAGAGCAGTGTGAAGCACGTGGTGGACGAAAGAGCAAGCAAGTTTCACAGAATTTCACCTTCAATGTATGGCCGTTGACCTTTACATCCTTCACTTTAGGTAATTTTGCACTGAAATTTCTGTTGTCTATCCACCGCATGGACGGTGCATTTAAATCAAATGTTTCTTCTCCTTGTGCTTTTCTGGGGATAATTCCCGGATCTCTAGCAGATGTTAAGAAGAGAAAAGCAAAGGCCTGCATAAACCATTGAGAAGCCAAATTTAGATTGCATGGGGAGGCTAAATTTACACTCTACTGCTAAAGAAACTTTACCGACCAAAATTGTGAGGATTGCTCCCCCGATAAATACAGGATAGCCATAGAGAGGACTGTCCCCTTTGATTGTGAAAAATAGCATTCTCATGCAGAATGTTATCGCAGGACATCCAATTAGGAATGATGTCAAAAAAAGAGATGATGCATCATGACCAAAGACTAATCTTCCGCCACACAAAAATTTCTGACATGAAGAAAAAAGCCTCATTAGAATTCAGTCCTGTAGAGTTAATTCTATAATAATAATTCAAGCAGTTATCCTTCAGAAATAGCCTATTATCTCATCATCAAATGACCTTTTTAAAATTAAGCAAAACAAGAAATGTTAGAATCTCAAATTTGACTCCAACATGTTCAAAAGGATTACAAAGCAAAATTCCCACTTTTATTTATTTAGATTGAAAAAGCAGACAGTGAGCAGTATAAAGCTGTGCTTTTGCTAAACTAGTGCAAAGCTCTCAGCATTGACTTTCTACTACCCTGTTGGGCGAGACTGAAGTTTTTAATAAGTGCATCAGCCAGTATTATTCTTGACCAATCCAAATATTAACAAAAAGATGAATGGAACACTAGAACAGACAGATAGTCTTTGACTAGCCAAAGAATTTCTCAATCTCTTGCATTTCCTGTTTCAAAAGCCCAAAACATAAGTGATAGTCTAGCCTAGGAAATGTATGGATGAAAAAAGTAGCTCCACTAATAAACTGCCACAGAATTTTCAAAATTTTTTATATAAATAAGAACGAATTTGCATCGTTCATAAAGATGCATGAACATCATGTCACCTATATCTCTATCCCTCGGTCAGTGTATTATTCACATAAAAGTTTACATTCCCAGGCTTCAAAGCCAACTTTCTAAAGAGAGCAAGTCTCCGACCTTACTTGCATAATGTTCTGTATATCTGTTTTTTTTTTCTCTCTCTCTCTTCTTGATGTCATGTAAGTCCTATAAATCAGTTTTAAAAGTTAAAAATCTTTAGTGTTAACCAACAAGAGTGTGCTTTGAACACATATACCACATATAACCAATCAAGAAGTCTCTCTCATAATACATAACCTGAACTTGCAGCATGCCTTACACCCAATAACAGATTGCAGCTCAGCGCAACTCTAATGTAAGACCTAAGTTCTGAACAAAGAAAGCACTAAAACATGGAAAACGGCTCCTGCATTTTCAAGGCCAGTTATAGATGACTCCTCATCTATCTAAACTTACTTCAAGCATTCTCAAGCTCTAAAAATACATCAATTTATTTATTCATTCTAGTAATCAACAGCAAAAGCACCTTGAGCTATTTGATTGGTCCATTCATGCCTTAGAAACCCAGAAGCTCAAACTTGAAATTTTTACAAACGAGGGGTACAAAACATATGGGCACATGTAAATATGATAAAGGGTTACTCCAAATTGTTCAAGTTCAAATATCCCTCAAAAATCTCAGTAACAGGGTAGCTGACAACTATATCCTCCCACTTCTCTTATTCCAATGCTCTTAACAATCAGAAGGTAAACATCACTACTAAAAAAGGACAAGACATAATGACGGAAAGAAGGGGGGGATACATTGTTTCCCTTCCAGACTTTGTAGAGTCTTGTGGGTTTGGGTTTGGATGGTTCGAGAGAGACGACCATGGAATCAGAGGAAGAGCTGAAGTTATTTTGGAAGTTTCTCATCATAATGATGGGTTCAACAACTCGCTGAAGCTCTTGCAATGATCTCCTTTATTCGCGAAAAACCCACATGTAATGTGTAGGGATCGCGGTGGGCTAAGCAAATGAAACGAGATCAAATGGCCGTGCTTGGGATTTGGGAAATTTACTTCTGTCGTTACATTCCTCTCTCTTACCGTCTCACCTCACCTCCTCTCCTCTCCCACAAACCAGCACTCCTGTAAAACGATCTTTAAATTCGACCGGCTATTTCGCGGGCTCAACTGATTCCACCGACATGCATTAGGGAAAATCACCACAAGGACCTCTGGAGAAACATATTCACGTTTGAGGACCAATTAATTTTAAATTTACACTGCAATCTCAAAAGTCATAACTGTAATTAATTATTACTTCAAAAAGACAAAAATGCCCCTCTAATGGAAATGAAATGAAGCATGGAACTCAGGAGAATAAACTGGCATTCGTGTGAAAACATCCAAAGCTTTAGCTAATGTGAGTTGATAAGTTGAAAATTGCAAATTCCTTCATCCATTTCTGTCTTTTTTAGTGAACTAGTTTTGCATTATTTCTTTCAACTAACTTATTTCTAGTCCTATTTTTTGGGTATCACAAGCTTATCGTCAAGGTACTTGGAAATATAGGCATTTGAATCTAAAGTTTGCAGTGTTATTAAGGTAAATGATTTGGGCCTAACTCATATTAGCTTTGACATTTTTTTATTGCAATATGTACTTTTATGCCACCGAAGAAACGCGTTTAATGTCAGAAAAAGTTGTTAGGGGTTTGCATATACACTTAGCAATAGGAGGTGCATATTAATGGCATCTGCTATCATTACTCTATTTCATTTAATGTGAGTTTGTCTTGGCAATGACAACGGCATTCTGTTCTCATATGGAATATAGTGTTATAAACACAATAATGTATTGTTATTAAAATGGAGAATGTAGCTATTATTTTATAATTTGATTATATTTTTCTTTTCAACATGTTGTGATAGCCTAAAAAGGAAAGTGTAAAAGTAATAAACTATTTATTAGTAAAATAGTAATGATACATAGTTGATATTGAAAATCTAGTTATAAATTCAAAAATAGAGTAAACTTCAATTAAAATTTGGAATCATTAAACTTTGTATTGTTAAAATAATAATAATACATTATTGATATTAGAATTGTAGTTATGAACTCGAAAGTAGAATAAAATTCATTTGAAATGATTGTAGAGTGACATGATAGATGGCAAGCAACAGTGGAAAGAAATTATTTTGTTTCTTCCATTATGGGGGAGTTTATGTGAGGACGAGTGAGGGCAATGTCAAATATGATGGAAGGAATGTTGTTACTAGAATAATAATAGAGGGCATGACATATGATGAACTTAAAAGATTAATATCAGCTAAAGTATCTTTTGGAATTAAAGAAATGGACTTAAAGTTTACAATCAATTATTAAAACTTTCACAACCATAATGACAAACTTTATAGATGATGTTAGAGTAGCACAACTTATTGAGTTCAATGGCAATAATGGTAATGTTTATATTAGTGTAAGGGAAAATGACATTACGCAATCATCACTAAATGATCATCCTCAAGAGTAAGTAATACTTAGTCAATTCTGAAAATAAAATTTATTGATTTAAGCCTCTTTATATTTAATATTGAGCTTTAATTATTTGAATGCGGCACAGGTAATGTCCAAGGAATTTATGAAGCACCCTCTACTTGTGAAACTGAATGGGAATTTGATATGTTAATTTTACCATCTCCATTTTAAACTTTGGCAACATCCTCTGTTGAGCAAATTTTAACTATGGAAAGTATTTCAACTCCAATGGCAGAGATAAATGCAATAAAGTATAGGGATTTGCTTATTGGTATATGGCGAACATTTGTTGATACCGTAGCTTTTAGACAAGCATTGCACAAATATAGTCTTACCAACAAGTTTGCATACAAATTTTGGAAGAATCATAAGGACAAAGTCATTGCAGAGTGTGTGACTAAGGGGTATCCATGGAAAATTGGAGCATATAAAGGAGCTAAAAAATAAAATCGATTCTTATCTATTAGAAGTTTCATCAATTTTTATGACATTTTATACTTTTTACATGTCTTAGTTATGTATCAATAAATATGGACTTATTAATAATAGAATGGTTTGTGCATGGTGAGTTGTTCACCAATTTTGCTCACTTAGACATTGGCTTAAGTCAAGAATTCTAGCACATTAAATTATTTCTTATTAAAATAGGGGGAGAGTTGTTTTTTTTCAAATAGCAATTTGTTCACTAGCTTCACTCGCTGGACAATGCTCGTCAAGACAACGTTCGATGGCTCCGCCCATGCTTTTGCAACACACCAAACATCAGTTGACTAGATGAGTAGCATCTCCCAAACTCAAATATGGAAAAACCACCTTCAGGATATTGAAATCATCTCTGAAGCAACAATTATGGCAATGGGGTATAGTGAAGGTCGTAAGAGGAGGAGTCAGAACCAATGATCTATTTTTTTTTTAATTTTAAACACTAGGGGCATTTTCATCTTTTCACAATAACAATTAATTACGGTTAGGACCTCTAAGACTGCAACGTAAATTCAGAATTAATTAGTCCCCAGTTGTGAATATGTTTCTCCATGGGTCCTTGGTTGTGATTTTCCCCATTTCTATTATTTTCTATAGTAAATTTGCTAATTTCTTCCAACTTTTTTTTTAAATTATACGTCACGTTTCTATTTCTATTATTTCAAAAATAACATTTATTTTTATTTGAAAATCTCATTCTTTATTTTTTAGTGGTGTAATTATTTTACATTATATAAAATTTATCTTGGTTGATCTCAATATATTAAGAAGTAATTAATGTAATGTAAAATTGGCAATAAAAAAGGTGACGTTAAACTCCAATATAAAACATACATGGTGAAAGTTGGCTTCATTCGCAATTCAAATTTCACAAATATAAACAAATAAGAGTAAAATACTCTAACCTCCCTCCATTTTACTTTAATTATGTGTATCTCTATTCTATTTTTAAAACCTATATAAACCTCTCCTAATATAAATAGTTACAAAATACAAATATTCTCTCTATTTTTAAGATTTTATTTTCATTCACCCTCCCATTAGTTGACTGTTAAATGATATATGTTAAACCAAAATATCTTTTTTAAAATATAAATGTTGTCCAACAATCATTCAAATTATCAAAAGAAATTTAATGCATATATATTTTTTACTTATTTCATTCATATTTTAAAATTTTAAATTATATAAATGTATTTATTTAGTATAATTTTCTAAAATTTAAATATATAAATTGGCCAAAACAATATTTCAAACACACAATTAAAAAAAGATTACTAAAATAAGGATTTAATATAATAAACCTCAATTTAATTTATATTTATTTTTTAAATTTTATTAATTTCAACACAATTTTAAATTATTTATTTAAATATCAAAAAATATATAAATTTTTTAAAACTGGGAGAAAAAGTAGGAAATTATATTATAATAATAAAATAATAATTTTAAAATTTTCAACATAATTAAAAAAATTAAGTATTTCTGAAATTTTAACAGAATATTCTTAAAAATACTAATAATTGGATTAAAGTATAAAATAAAGAGATTTTAAAATGGAAAAATATTAGTGTAATTTACTCCATAAATAAATACAAAGTGTTTTTTTTGTTTTTTAATTTTCGGCACATTGAAGGTCGAAGGCCCAGAAAACCAGAAAAGAAAGCAGCGTTATCCTGCCGAAGCATGGATACAGATCCACTCAGCGGCCAAGTTCTCAGCGTCCCTCAGCAGCCAAATCTGGTCCATTTAAACAGTTAAATCTGATCAACATACTCATCACATGAATATTAAAAATACATATAAATAATTTATTTTTAAATAGTAAAAGTTATATATTTTAAAAAATCATGTTTAAATTTTAAACATGAATTTTTTATTAAGCAGATTATGTCCAAATTAAAACAGGATAAGCTGTATGTCTTTACAGGCCTATTTATTTATTTTAATATAATCAACTTTTTTGTTAAATAGATCTTGCTTTGCCTATAGAGACATACAGCATGTCTTGTTTAAATTTGAGCCTGGTCTATTAACAAAAAAATCATACTTAAATTTATAACTAGACCTACTTATGTAAATAGATTAAGCCTGTTTTTATTATTTAAAAAAAATTATTCATAAGTATTTTTAATAGTCATGTGATATATGATAATGATCAGATTTTGGCTATTTAAATGGATTAGATTTAACCACTGAGGTACACTAGGAATTCCGCCACTGAGAGGATCCGGTTCCGCCGAAGTATGATGGTGTGTCAGGACTCAGGATAAGCAACTTAGGCAGGTGGTCAATAAATTTTGTTTCCCTTCGAGCTGTGTTCAGTAGAAGATCCCAACACAACACCATTCAAGGCCTTTCAGAATCACGGGGCTTTGAAACCGAAAGACAAACCATTGGTTACTTTTATATAGAAAAAAGGTTTTTTTAAAAAAAAAATTAATCCCCCTAAACATACGAATATCATTTAAGGACCGTTCTCTTCCAAACAATACTCTCAAATTCCATGCACACCTCCAAAAATTGAATCCTGTATCAATACTACACTCAATTGGTAATTGAACGGTAATGTTAACATCATAAATGTTAATTTTGGCCACTGGGAAAACAACCGAGAAAAGATAGATAAAGTACGTCAGACAGAAATTTAAAATTACGATGATTTTCTGAAACAGTCGCTTTAGAGTAACCTTCAATACTGCATTCAACAGTACTAAAAGCATTGTCATTAAAAACCTAGCATCCTACTACTGAGAATGAAACAGAATTACACGATCAGTCTGAGAATTTATACTACTACAGATTACACATAGTAAATAGACAGCCTGATCATTCATGTGCCAACTCACAGGAATTGTCAAAAGGAAAAGTTGATCTGCTATCTGCTAACTAAAGAACATACGATTTCAGGATATACTATTTGCTGCACTTGCCATGTCGTCAGCTCAAAAGTTCCTTGCTACTACTGTCTGTCAAATTAACAAAAACCTGAGAAAGAACCAGACAATGGCATGAGTAAGATTTTACTTACTGTCTTCAGTTTTATGGCCTTCCTTCTTCCTAAAGCAAGCAAACCTAGTAGCACTGTGTAATGCCTTCAAATCGTCAAAGACAAATGTGATTCACTAATCACTATTATCACCTTTCGGTTTGTGCAACAGAAAAGAGTGTATCAGAATTGAGGGCGATATGTAAATTAGCATTCTTCTTCTGAATTGAACCCCCGCCCCCCGGGCCTAGGGGGGGAGCTGAGCACAAATAAATGACATGTAAACTAAACCAAAAAAAATAATGAACCAAGATATTTCCTTCTCAAATCAAAATATTTGCTAATGCGCGCCCTGTTTTATATAATCAAGGGGGACGAATTCCCTCCTCTTCACACAAAGATCGTGATATACAACACTCTCTCCTATCAACATTTTCAACCATTTCATGCATCTTAAAAAAAGTTAGTTTTTTTTTTCATATAATGAAAGTAATGATATGTACTTTCATTTTTACCTTTGTCTTTAAATAATAATACAACTATATTAAATACCTTCACGCTAATCAAGAAAGGGTAAAATTGAAAAAAGTGAGTATTACAAGGTGTTCTACATTTTGAATCAAAAATTATATTTAAAAGGTGTCCTACAAATAGGATCGGAGAGAGTATTTATTATATCATTGATAGTTTGATATGATTCCTGAACAGTAATTATTATTATTCTCCATTACTTTCCTTTTACCTGAGGACAGAAATGTTTATTTCTCATTGATGAAATCACATTTTCAATTAATTTTCTTTTGCATTCCGTTGAATTTTGCTTACCAAACCAGCTCTTGACTACAGAATCATTATATTTCCACGGGCACAATACAAAATTAAGGATATTAAATTATTTTGATCCATATTCCCAAATACGCAGTGTCAATTAGTTACAGGGAAATGACCTTGCACGTTCATAAATGGCATTAAGCATGGAAAAATTGTAATACATCTCGGGAACCCAAAATTCAGAGAATGGCGGCTATAACATGCTTAATTTTATTCTTATAAACCATCAATATTACCGCTTAACCATGGACCATGAAAAAGAAATTAGAAAGCAAAGGATTCATGTAGCATGATGGAAACTAACCTTTTTCAGAAGCCTAAGCAACTGGAAGCCAACCCAACAAGAACTCAGCAGACAATTAACAAAAGTAATCCCTACATTTTGCTGATCCACATAGGCATTTCTTTTTCCTCTGGCCTGCTTTGAGAGGAAGAACTATTCCATAGTCATATGTCAACTCGGTCATGGGAGGGATATGTCTGACTGCATGGAAAGCAATGTGGAGATCAGACTCAAGTTTATTTTCACGAACAACAGGGCGCCAGAATACAGTTGGAGAACAGCTGTGATTCATAAACCGAGCAACATTCCCATAATTCTTTGCTGTTACATAGAGGGGATACGGGATCTTTGGAGCTTCGGTTTCACTTGGAAAAACTTCCAGCTGCTGATAAATTCGAGTAGAGTCAAAGATGTAATCATCTTCATTTTCAACACCAAGCTCCTCCATTCTAGCATTATCTATGACTTCACCAGCATACTCACATATAAAAGCTCCTGCACGAATAGGATCCCAGGATCTTAAACCCCACCCTTTATTCTTAGTTTTAAAAACCTCCAAGCGAACTCTCAAGCCACCTTGAGAAACTCTATTTCGACAAGTCGGGGGGCACTGACAGGAAGGGCCACACTCATATATCACAGATTTTAAGTCCAAGAGTACCCCATTTGCAGAATGTGGGAGATGACCTCCATTCTTTTGAATGCAAGAACAGTTAAAGGTGCTGGGACGGCATCCACCAATACAATTACATCCAGCAGATTGATCTACAGGATTTGCTGGCTTCAAATTCCTGAGAGAAGGACAGTAGGTGAAATATGCAGGGCCCTTCTCACTATCAACATCATTCACAAGACAAACAGGCACCTTTTCAGCACCAGAAGTAAGATCAGGCAATATAACCCCAACTCTTGAAGTAGACTTCTCAGTCCATTGCTGAATGGATTTCCATATCGTATATGCTGCAGGCTGCCCAGGCAGCCTGACTAATTTATACTTAAATACACTGAAACCTGATTTTCCTTTTTCTACCCATGAGTGTTGGATCTTGTAAAGGCCATCATAAACATATATCCTCCCCATAGGATTAGCATTGTCCTTGAGACCTCTAATTACTCTAACTTCATTACCTCTATGCAGGCTCTTTTCCAATGCAAGATTACCTCTTTCAAGCTTTTGATCACTTCCATTAGCCCCACCTTGGCCACTGTAAATCAGCACATCCCCATCCTCTGTATTATCTTCATATCCTCCGGATGAGACAATACTTACAGCTAATGGCTCTTCTTCTTGAGTGAATTTGACGCCCAAGTAATCAATTCCAGCCATTGATGGTGCATGCAACCCCACTGCACACAATTCCATCCTAAAAAAGAAAATATCCCCAATTTCAACACCAGGAACAGCTCCAATACGTTTCTTACTATTTGTTCGAACCCCTTTACTCAACATTATTGTGCCTGCCCTCAAATCAGGCCGCCTTGCCACTCCAGGATTTCCATCTTTCATATCTTCAATTTGTGTGATCTTCCTTCTTATCACTTCAAAAATCATAAGTGTATATGAAACTGAGTCTTTGCTACCATCTGGTTGATTCAAGACATCAAAAACAACAGGATTAATTGACTTGAGAATATCATTAGCGACTGCATCCAAATCAACCTCTGCTGCTGCAGAGCCACCTCCCTGCCTTCCTTTTTTCTTCTTCTGCGATCTAAGCCTTCTATCCTGGCTTCCATCTTCTGCATCTGTTTCATTCACCTCAAAATTGAGTTGATGGCTATTACTATAGCCATCATCGTTTGTGAAACCCTTGCTGCTTCTTCTAGATGACCCCGCAACTCCATTTGTAGTAGCCTTAGCTCTTGGTGTTGGAGTCCTGAATGAATTAAGTGGAACCGCAGGCACACCAGCTGCCGGGGTTTGAAGATTTTGTTCAGAGAATCTCTGAGACTCTGGAGAGAAGAAGAACGGGTAGAAGGAGGAAATGCCAGGGGGGAAGGGGCCAGACGGAGAGACTGAAACAAACGGTGCCCCGCCTTGTGAATTTGAAGATGAAGAGGTATTAGATGGTGAAGGGAATATAGGAACAAGAGTTCGCAATGGCTTAATATTCAAAACCCTGGACTTGTCAAAGGACCCATGTGCTGGATTAGATTCTTGACCCAAACTGTTTTCCATTTATATTTTGAAGGTTTACGGACACACTCCTCTCACAACAAGCTTCCACGAGTTTAATATTCACTCATCCATATAAATCAGAGCAAGATGAGAAGGCTAACAAGCATGGCGATTGCTTTATCTCAAGAGTAAAGCCAACGGACTGCAATTTTACACTAATTACATACAGGAAGAGATGAAATGACGAAATTAGGAGTCGATGCTGGCACATAATACGTTTCCTGAAACATGCAACGGAATCTGAAGTTAAACAACGGACGAGAAGGAAGAAATCCAACCAAAATGTATACAAATATATAAATCAAAAGTAAAAGCTCCTAAGTGCTAACCAAAAGGAACGCATTAAACAAACCACGAAATTTTCTCTGGTCAGTCGACATGGAAAGAAATCCGACTTGACAAAACCAAGTGAAACGACTGAAACTGAGACTACTGCAAATAAAAAATGAGGAGAAATGGTACAAACTTTCATCTCTAAAATCTGAACGAAAACAGAAGATCCCCCTACAACACAGATCCGGGGCTGATCAAGGGCACGAAAGCAAATCGGGTTGGAGTTCGAAGACTAGCTGAAAGTATATATAATTTAACGAGCAAGCAGGAAAGACATAAACATACCTGAAAGGGGTTTATCAGATTTAAGCTTGTTTCTGTGCTTGAATTTGAGCTGAAGCTCAAGACCTTTCCGGCTTTCCCCGACCAAGGCTCTTGTGTGTTCTTTTGAGGAGAGAGGTGGTGAGAGACGGCCCGAATATTTTCCGGCCTTTATGCAGTTCCTGAAATAATCATATGCTTCGGAGACTACATATGTAATTTGGTACCGTCAGGTAACTTGAGAGTGGCATTATATTATTGGATGGGGATAGAGGAAACCTTCTCATTATACTTTAGCTGGCGGCTTCGGAAGAGTGGAGTGTTAATTTAACGAGAATGATGATAAAACCAACGGTAGGATTTATCTATTCAGAAGGCAAGCAATGTAATAACGAAAGCATGGGATATTTGCACAAAAAAATGGGCACGCATAAGAGGACACGAAGTAAATATTTAATATTGTTATCGATTCATATGAAGCAACAAATCATCATTTTCACTTTCTAATTTATTATGCAGTACTAAATACATGAACGTTTTCTGGTCAGAAAAAGTACATGAATGTTTAAAATCAGATTCAATGTTATCAATATTAACCATACACATTATCCCTGATTATGATTGATAATGGTTAAGAAGACTTTCCTCCTCGACCTTGATTATGATTATCCATGCATACGGCACATTTACCACAGAAAAATAACTGGGATCATTTCTAATTTATAAATCTTGTTATAAATTTTATATTTTATATCAATATCAATAAAATCATCAACTTTCAAATTCATGAATTGTAAATAGAACCGCTCAATGCTCAAAATGCCGTAAGAATCGCCTAATCATCAACATTGTCCACAACAATATCATCATTATCATTGACATCTATATACATGTGCCTACTTTCCTCATGATGTAAGACACTTCAATTAAATTACATTTCAAATGAGCTTTCCGATTATTCTTAAAACTAATTCCTTTGATTTCCATTACAATAAATATTTAATTACTTTCCTGAAACTAGTGAGAGGTTATTAAATTATTAACTTTGTTTAAAAATATAATAAAGTTTCAATTTTATTTCTATTTAGATAAAAAGTTCTTAAAGATATATTGTATTTTTTCTCATAATTAATGAATTTAAATATAAATAATATTAACAAAATATAATTAATACCCCATCAAATATCTTAAATTAAATATCAAAAAATACTTATAGAAAGCAATCATTAATAAGAATCAAAGACAACACGCACTTTGTTTATATTTAACCTTATTTAATTAAATGTATAAATTTAAAAACCTTACTAGTTTCACCAATAATTAAGAGCATTTTTTAGAAAAAAAATCTCATTAATTATATTTTAAAAAACTCTAAATTTTTTATACTTTTGAACATGATACTTTAAAAAAATGTCTTATAATATTAAATGGAGGGAGTAACAAATTATTTTGCAATACATTATAGATATTTCTCACACTCTATATGTATAAATTTTTAACCCGCTAAATGTCTAGGTTAGTTTACAAAAAATAAACACATATTTTAGTTTTAATTAAAAATAAGAAAAAATTAGTCATTTGATCTTTATAGTTTTAACTCAATTGTAACTCAATTCCTTAACTTTGACTCATTATAATTCAGTCGCTAAAGTTTTAACTCAATTGTAAATTATTCTCTGAACTTTATCTCTTGCAAGTTAGTTTCTAAAGTTTTAATCTCTTAAATATTAGTATCTATATTTTTAAAAAAATAAAATTATAAAGATTAAAAATGTTTTAAAATTTATTACTGATATTTTAAATTATTAAGCCCTTTTAATCTTATAAATATTATAAATAATAAAAGTTTAAAATATTTTTAATCTTTATAATTTTATTTTTTAAAATATAGGACCTAATATTTAAGAGGTCAAAATTTTAGGGACTAAATTGCAAGAGATAAAGTTTAGGAACTAACTTATAACAAAGTAAAAACTTCAAGGAGTGAGTTATAATAAGTCAAATTGAGGAATTGAGTTATAACTAAGTTAAAATTATAAAAATTAAATAATTATTTTTCTCTAAAAATTATTATCACCACTTATGTGTTCTGTGTGCAAAGCACACGAATTAGCAATGCCTAACCAGTTACGGTTCAAAATGACATCTAGTATTATAACATGACAATTGACAAGTAAAAATATACTTTATATACACTTAACATGAAAAATATTTTTTATTTCTACTGCAAATTTCATTCTATTTATGTTTAATCTCTCATTTCATGTTTCAACATGAACTAATTGTAAGTTGTAAAATGCCCATCTTGGCCCGTTGCTTGAACTTGGGCAAGTAGATTTGGATTGGGCCAGGGATATCCGTGTTCAAATAGTCCTTTTTTATCCCAAATAAAACAATGAAAAACATGTCTCGGTTATCAACTTTAACAGGCAAACACATAATGAAAAACGCAGGCAAACATAGGATGAAAAACTAGCCTCTCTCTGTGTGTGTGTTAATATATATATATATATTCCCTAATCTGTAAAATCTATCGACTAACTCAGCAAATCAAAGAGTATATATAATTATATATATTATGTGAAAGATTGAAATTGAGGCTGCCATTTTACCAATTGGAATCAGGCACAAAGTTAGGGGGAAGAAAAAGAGAGATAAGTTAAATTAGCGCATGTTATATTTGGATGCACGTGAATTTAAATTTGAGCTAAATTTATTTTTTGATTAATTAAAATTGTGTGAATTTAGATTTGGGCAAATTCAAATCCTATCTCAATTCTTCCTAAACCTTTACTATTTTAAATTTTAATGAAAATTTATCTCTTTATTTGTGTTCTTTTGTCAACTTTATCACCTTCTTGACTTTAACATCGCTTCCTTTGGCTAACATCCATCAAGATCGCAGGCAATGATTGCGATCAAAATGCCAGCGCCAACCAAGACTAAACCTCCAACGTCAATCGGGACCTGACGTTTAACATTGATAGGGACAACCAACTTTGACCTAAATCACATGGATGGCACCAAGTAGGATCAAATTGCCGAATTTGACCAAGACCAGACCGCTAGCTTGACTAGATCGCCAACATTGATCGAGACCACCCTTCTCTGCTACCTGATGCTAGTTTGCCAATCAATTCAAATATAGAATTCAAAATTGAGAATTTTATTTAAAATCCAAACAAAGTATTTTAATATTATAATTTGAAATTTTTTATATCATCCAAAAAAATAATTTAGAATTTATGAATTTCAAATGTGAGATTTCAAATTTAAATTCTCAACTTAAATTCACCCATCCAAATACAACATTAGCTAAATCTCAAAAACACAATTTAATCTGTATAAATATCTTATGTATCACAAATCATAAATTTTATAACTAATATCTTAACTATAAACCCTCAAATCAATTAATAGAATAAATCTAAATTGATAGAATTTAAATACTAATCTATCTCTACTATCTCGTATTATCATTTGTTAAAAGTTAACACTTATTCTAAACTCTAATCATAAAATTTGCTTTATTCATCAAAATTAGCCTTTACTTCCCCATGAGCTGTGTGTGTTGCATGGGAAGCATTTAATTATATGACTTCAATATTTTTCGACAAAACTAAGTTTCATTTAGATTAACATCATGCACATGCTAGAAAATAGAGAAACATTTTATAGAGAGAAGTTTCATTACTTATTGAATTACTTGTGAAGTGAAACATGTTCAAACATGATTAAAAACAAAACACATGTTTAACCAAGTTTCTAAATATCTCTCTGTAGACAACATTTGTTGTTGGACATGTCCCATGAGGCAATAGAATCTTCAACCCTCTCTCACTCTTAACTCTTTATAATGCAACATATAGTTGACTATGTGTGAAAATTGGCTTTGGCATATACAATCTAACATTGCGCAATGATTGCCCTTAACTTTTGTTAATTGTCATTACAAATAAAATAGCAATTGGGAATTGCCTTATTTGCATGTGAAAGGGCTATATACTTTTGGAAGAATTCATGTCCATTCTATGAATTAATATTTTTTCATTTTGCTTTGAACTATTGAAAGTTATAGCTTCTGTTACATTTCTTCTAACATAAGTGGGGCATAACCTTATACCATTACACAAATCAGAGGCTTAGTTTATATTGCGAAGCAACGTTATAGGGGTCTCAACCTTCAAGTAGAGCTTACGAGGAGCTAATCTAGAGCAAGTGATTGTGTTAAGAAACTCAACACTATACAAATCATCAAAGAAATCACTATCGTTAGTTGACTTGCAAATGGAATTAGAACTCAGGAACTTAGTAGATTTACTAGGAAGTAATGAGCACACGTAATCATTAACTTGATTTACTATTTCAACAGTAGGAGCAAGAATTGTTCTATCATTAAAATATTGAATGTTATATAAATTCTCAAGTAGATTAGGATAAGTAGATGAGACTATTGCTTCAATTAAGTTCCTATAGCTTGAAATCAATAAATTATGAGAGACTTTTATCTCAGCTACACCATAATGTGGTTGGTCTAGGTTCCCATCACCTACATTTAAAAGTCATTGTGAAATTTTTTTTCAAATCTTCATTAACATTATTTGAAGAAGATGATGATAATCGCACGTTCTTCTTAAGTTAAAAGATTGTACAATGATCCTATAGAGGTAAAGACTAAGTCTTGCATTTATAATTATTGCTCTGATTCCTTTTGAAATGACAGGAAGGGTCTGTCAAAAATCACCTCCCATGACAACAAATTTTCCACCAAAGGGATAATTATTATGCATTATATCCCTAAGGATGCAATCAAAGGTTCCAACATAATAGCATTGCACCATAGGTGCTTCATCTTATATGATTAGCTCGGTTGCTTTAATTTGATGTGCTAATGTTCAGTTTTATTTTATGCAATAAACAGATTCTTCAGTTATCTGTATAAGTATTGCAAACCTTGAATGTGTTGTTTTACCAGAAGGTAATCAAGTTGTTGCAAACCTTAATGCCACTGTTAAAACAATATCTCCCTTTGCACGAAGTAATAACAATAGAGCATTCTATAAGAATGTTTTTCCTGTGCTTCCACAACTATAAACAAAGAAAAAACCTATATTTGGGGAAGATAGCAAGGATATAATGCTATTGTACGCACATCTCTGATTTTCATTGAATGAACTAATTAGAC